ACCAACAACGGTGATCTCCTGTTGCAAATTTGTTCTGATAACCGCCCAACACAAACTCCAAAGATAAGTAGGGGCACTGTCTCACATAGCGTCCACATAAGTCAAACAAACGATGGGCATATAGATCACGTAGCGACAAGTCACCGTTGGAGAGGATCGGTGAAGGATCACCACTCTTTCTAGAGCACCAGCTTGATCTCCGATCACGCGGCAGTACGGGTTTGTTATATCTGCCTTTAATGGTTGCAGGAAACAGGAGGCAGTGAAACTCGAGGAAACCAGACAGGTTTCAGACTGAGCTCTACGAGGGTCCATCGATCAAACCTTTTTAACCCACGAAAGGCTCTGGAACACAGGCATAACTACCGGCGACCGACACTTGTCATATTTCTTCACCTGAAGGTGGCATTTGAGTCTATCGACCGTGAGGCGTTATGGCAACATCTGACTGTGAAAGGAGTATCGAGAAAGTATACATCGCGTTAGACAGAAATCTGAGGATTTTTCGCACACATTTCGCACCCGTCAAATGTAAGATGATGATCTAGGACTTGTCTGCTGAAACTACTCCCAGTTTAGTGATAGGGAACAAAGTCGTGGAATATGTCGACTACTTCACTTACTTGGGGAGTTGTATCAGCACGAACGGGCTGGTTGCTGACGAAATCTCAGCTCGGACACAGAAGGTCCGTTTGGCATTCACCAACTTGTGTCATCTGTGGTGCCGACTGACGAGATATCCGATAACCCATTAAGGGATGCATATACTGAGCTCCAGTCCATTCTGTCACGTTGTACGGATGAGACATGACCGTTAAAGTAGAAGACATGAAGCGATTACAGGGTTTTGATCACACACGTCTTCGTAGCATTGCTCGCGCGTAGTGGAATCACCGTGTGAGGAATGTTGAAGTCAGACGAAGGGTACTAGGCAAGATAGGCAAGTTGATTGACCAGATTTTGAACCTGTAACAGTACGATTACCTCAAATCAATAAACGCGTTACTCTACCCTACATTAAGCATCTGTCAGAAAATGTCAACCGACTACTTCATGTGTCCGGGAGTGCAGTGACCCACAAAGCAACGATATCACTACCCAGCATGTGAAAGCCAAAGAAAAACAGAACAAATATAATTTGTAAAATCAAATCATCACCAGTTAGTGATGAAACTCCGTCCAGATGGTAGTATGGTTTCAAAAAAACTACCTTTATCTTACAAATATCATACAGACTCTTGTGGCGTGCTAGAACCTCAGGAAACACTTCTTCCAGTCGGTGCATCGCTGGTTTCATGAGATACACATGCCCGATGACCACGTCGAAGTGACTGACTGGGAAGATCAACGTGGAACCGCGCATAGGAGTGTATAGGCTCAAGTTATCACACTTCACAGTAGTACACAAACAACAGGTAGATAGAAAAAGTGATATCAAGGTGGACAAAGTTGCGTGGGAGAATAAACAATCTGAAGATAAAGGTTGGTGCGAATACTCAAGCTTAAAAGATAACGAGGAGTGAATACATCAGCGCCATTGTAACTGATTTCCAGCTATGTCACCAAGAGTCCTCAGCCACTGGTTCGTTTTGTCTAGGAGACCCCAGCCAGTCAGCTGGTCTACATCTACCCATATGACTCAGACCGACGAGATTTCACGGACTGATGCCAGGTCTTGGTCTGGCTACCCTGAACCCTCTTCCAAACTAACTCAATTACTCCTAGCATGGGACATCGAGGTAGGCCATGTCTCACATCGTAAAACGTGACAGAATGGACTGGAGCTCAGTATATGCATCCCTTAATGGGTTATCGGATATCTCGTCAGTCGGCACCACAGATGACACAAGTTGGTGAATGCCAAACGGACCTTCTGTGTCCGAGCTGAGATTTCGTCAGCAACCAGCCCGTTCGTGCTGATACAACTCCCCAAGTAAGTGAAGTAGTCGACATATTCCACGACTTTGTTCCCTATCACTAACTGGGAGTAGTTTCAGCAGACAAGTCCTAGATCATCATCTTACATTTGACGGTGCGAAATGTGTGCGAAAAATCCTCAGATTTCTGTTAAACGCGTTCAGAAGACCCTGGCATTTTGTCAGCACCCTCAACCAACAGGATACGTCAGGTTGCAGTTACAAACGGGGCTTCTCATTTAGCACATCGAAAAGTTATATATACTAAGGATTTAGAAATTCTATAGTGTTCCAAGTCCATGAGTTCAACTAACACAGGTTGACAGTATTTACAATCGAAATGACAATCATTTACGAACATATAAATGGAAGTCACACTATTAAAGACAACCGATGTCACCAGTGAGTTCCATTAATTACAACAGAAACTATGTGCTTCGTTCATTCAATGAATGTCATCAAGCCCTCAAGTTTACTATAGAGAAGGAATCAGAATCAACTATTCCTTTTCTTGATGTGCTTCTCACCCGACGTCAGAATGGATACCTTAAAAGATCCATCTACAGAAAACCAACGTGGAACGGACAACTAACTAATTTTTATAGTTGGGTGCCCATCAACAGAAAAAGAAATCTTATTCACTCTCTTTGCTATCGAATAAGAAGTATCTGTAGTGACGATTGTATCGAGAAGAGCTATCTTTCTTAAAAAGCATACTTGTCGAAAACGGTTACCCTAGCCGTTTTATTGATAAAAATATGCGGGAAAGAAACACTAAACCAGTCATCCACTCGGTCTCAAAGAAAAGATTGTTTATGAGCCTAGAGTTTAAAGGAGACCTAGCATCGGATGTACTGAAGAATCGTCTTACCAGATCAATCAATAGGACTTTCTTCGCAGCAAGACTCCAGTTGACTTTTACCAGCCGCAACCTATTCTCCACCTGCGTCAAAGACAAGCTTCCTCGTTTGGCCGCCTCTATGTGCATCTACCAGTTCACCTGCTCTTGTGGAGCAAGGTACATCGGCCGTAGCCAGAGAATGCTTTCTACACGTATACGAGAACATGTTCCTGCTTGGTTTTATAAAGGTGAAAGAAAGTCTGTTAGAAGTTCGATTCTAGAACATTTGATTGACTTCCATCACACAACAAATCCAGACGATGACTTTGAAATTATTTATCAAATTCGCCCAAACCTCCCACGTTCTCTTCGTTTTCAACTCCTTAAAACAGCGGAGGCTTTAGCTATTCATGAACTAAGACCTGATCTGTGTGTACAAAAGAAGTATGTGCAGTCACTGTCTTTATCATGGCCATAACATTTTCCCACCCCATTAGCTCCCCCTCCCACTTTGTTAATTTAACCTTTGTATCCTTCCTTTATCACTATTATTGTTATTATAATCGCCTTCACTTCAACTAGTTTCCGGTGTTGTTTCACTTAATTGTCTTAATCCTTTTAGAAAACATTGACTTCATCTTGTCCAATTTGTCTAATGCCATTACATAATACTTAATTGATTTACCGTTTTCAACAATTTTTTCACCCCTTTCTGAGTTATACACCTTCTATGAACCATTCCATATATTACATAATCTATTTGTTATCATTCGCACTTCAATTGTTATTATAATCATAAATGCCTATGTCATCACCCGCTCTATTATTATTGTCATCACCATATAGTGTTTAGTTTTCCTCACAGGATATAATTTTTTCCAAATACCATATATATACGATTGTACAGCTTGAAAATAAATTCGTTGAAAAGAGTCTCTTCGCTGAATATCTTGTTCTTAATGTTACAATGGGAATTATTAAAATTTAGGTTTAGGCAGACATTTTACTGCTCAGCGACTGCGAGTGGGTTCATGTACCAGGTAATGAACAACATTTATTGTGTGAAGGCTAATGACAACACCCGGCAAAGTGGACCTCAAAAGGTGGAGCAGTGTTGCAGTTTAACCTACTGCATGAAAGTCAACTTACTACACAAATGAGTTCTAGCTGCGCCGCACGGCAGAGAGCACTGGGACTAACTGAACAATAAACAGATACTATGATGTTTGTCATCTGATGACACGATACGTGGGAAATATTAATTTTTATTACAGTACCTGCTCAAACTAAACCCATATTGATCTGAGCACTTATCCGCAACAAAATCAAAATGACACTGTAGAGGTCCTGGAATGCTGGGCTTGGTGTGTTGCACTTGCATAGAAATTACCTAGATAGTGATAATGTGTAAAGCCAATGATGAAAAAGCATACTGTAGTATCCAAATACCATATGAAAAAGCATGCAGTTGTGAGGACTTATGACATTATCAGCTGAAAGAACAAATGATTACAGTAACAACTTATCGAACACAAAATTGTCACCAAACTCTACTACATCAAAAAACAAAGTTTCGAAGAAGTGTAAATAATCCCAGTTTCGTGTGTATGCAATAATAGTACGTGATGTTTGTCATATTGCCTACAATCCGACGCACCTCAACTTTCACGAACCGCATATATACAACATACGCACAGTAGGATTAGAAATACCCTGTAAAAAGCAGGCAAATATTTATTATTC